AAGCGTTGTCTATTAAAAAATTAAATAAATTATTTTAAAAAATTAAACAAATAAATAGTGTTTTTTCAAACAAGTGTTATCTATTGAAAAATTAAATAAATTGTTAAAAAAAATGTGAATCAATAGACAACGCTTGTTTTAAAAAAGCATTGTCTATTGGTGGTTAAATAGACAACACTTTTTGGAAAATCATTTTCTATTGGTGGCCTAATAGAGAGCGTTTTTTCAAATAAGCGTTGTCTATTGGTGACCATTAGATAATGCTTTTTTGGAAGCATTGTCTATTACTAGACAATGCTCCAATAAACAATGCCTAAAAAGCGTTGTTTATTAGAAGAAGAAAAAAGTATTGTCTATTGGTAATTTTCTAATAATGTTGGAATGTGTAAATGTCAACATTTTATTTGCATGTTTGGGTGTTTTTACTAGGTTTTCTTTCAAGCTTTTCTTCTTTTAGTCTGCTTAAAAGTTTTGTCTATGACACCTTTCTCGTCCTTGTTTTTTAGTTTTACTTATTTGTCTTTATGTTCTTAGCTTTGTTTTTCTTCATGATTGATGTGACAATATTTCAACACTTCTGTATTCTTCTCTTGTTCTTTTTGTCTTCATCATCTAGGTCTTGATACATATAGTTTTGTTGTGTCTTTTGACCATTGATGCATATTTAATTCAACGTATTGTTCATATATTTTTCTATCTTCATCTGGGAGTTCTTGATACGATAATCAAAGTGTATTACTTCATGTGAATTACCATTTCTTTAATTTTTAGTCATTCAAAAATTTGATTCAAAAAGAAATAAAGGAATGAGAGGAAAAATAGAATAGACCTACTAACCTATTAGAAAAAGTGATATATCAACATTCACCATAGAAACCAAATATCCATTTCACATTTTTTAACAAACTTGAAGAATAGTAGAGCTGTCAAAACGGGTAACCCAGCCCGACTCATCACGGGTTGGTCACTTAGTGAGCCAACCCAACTCGACTAACTTATTTGCGAGTTGAAAAAATTTGAACCCGGCCTGACCCAACACGGGCTGATTGGTTAAACGGGTTGACTCACTAACTCATATTAATTATAAGTCTTTTTAAAATAAAAAAAATACAATTTTTTTAATTCAAAAATAAATAGATGTCACACTAAAATGATGTTAAACTTCAAAGACAACTCAAAATAAAAAGAAAAAGTATCATATAATCCAAGCGTAATCTAAAAACATGTACAAAAGGCGAACAAATAAGTTTTTTATATTGATAATTTTTATATCACTTGTCCATTTATAATATTAGAGCCTTGAATAAATAAATTTATAATATTTTTCTCTCGTGAAACATCCTCTTCTTTATAATCATCTACAATATAATGAAAAAAATGCTAACTAATAATATTGAAATACAAAATAATAAATAATAAAATTAAATTAGGTGGATTGGTGAGCCAGATTGACTCACTACGGGTTCAACCTGGTGAGCCGGGTTCTAACTAAGCCGGATTGAAAACTAACCCACATAAAAAATTACATTTTTTTCAAACTCAACCCGACTTAAACCTGTTGTGAACCAGGTTGGGTCGCTGGTTACAACTCATTTTGACAGCACTAAAAATAGTATATCAACACATAAACAAACTAAGGATCCTTAAGTCAATCAAAATACAAGCTTCACTTACCATTTCACATTCTTTAACAAACTTGAAAGATAGTATATCAACACATAAACAAATTAGGTTTCACATAGTCAATCAAAATACAAACCATAGTTTACTAAATTGATTTTCTCAAAATATCCAAAATTTAAAACATTCATAATTGAATAACAATCTTGCTTTCCTTATATCAAATTATTTGTTCTTGTAAAAAATAATTCAAAAGTTATATAAAATTAAAAAAGTCCTGATCCCAAAAAATCTCATTCAAAACTCAAATAGAATCTTAAATAAATATATTCAACTCATATGTCACGTACAAACACAAAACTCTATACATGTAAATTTTACTAGAGAAAAACAAATCAAGAACTAAAGAAAAAAAGTAAATTAAAATAAAATATAATCAATTCAGATTATTATCTTATCACCTAAAAGTTGTGTCTTTTGATACAAAAGAAAAGATGAAAGAGATTTCAAGATTTTAGAGATAAAATAAAAAGAATATGTAAAGGGAAGAAATTCATATAATAATACAATTTGAAAAATTAATCTCTAAATAATTAAAATTCTAATTTATATAATAACCATATCTTAAAATTTTATTTTTTTAAGGCATCCCTACTAAACATGAATCTTACAATATCCATAAATAAAAACAATATATTAAAAATTGTTACCATTTAATATTAACTCATCAAAATTATTTATAAATAATATTAATGTAAGGAATTTAATTCTAAATTAAATACAAGACGTAGTAAACTTAATTACATCCAACATTTATTATTAAATTAAAATTTCGAATGAAAACAAATTAAGTCTTCTTTTTATATATATATATATATATATATATATATATATATATATATATGTTTAATTGCTTCCTCGCCTTCCCCCTCCGCATCTCTTTTCTTTCTCCCCTGTTTTTCCTCCTTTTCCTTCCCTATTACAACTTTATTATTTTCATCTGAGCCTTAACCCCAGTGTTCATTTGATTTTTTGTATTTATCGTGTTATTGTTTAATGAAATAAAAAGTTCCTTTATAAATGAATTATTTTAGACAACTTTATTTTTCTCATAAGATTAGTTGGACTAAATTTTACTATGTTAATAACCAATATCATATTTTCCCCCCATATTAAATATTTACAAAATTATTACTAACTAATTACAACCGGCGCCTAGCTTTTCTCATTAAATTATTTCAATCCTTCACCACTTTTCTTTATCCTTCCAACTCATAAAAAAAAAGTAATCAGTCCACTTATTTAGTTTGTAATCTTCCTCTGAACTCTCTCTCTTATTTAATTTTTATATTTTAGTGGTCTATGATTTCACCTATTTTTGTTCCTTTTCTTTATCTAACTCATCTGCCAGTTTTGATCCGACATGCAGAAACGAACTCAGAGCGTCTGAATTATGTTCATACCTGCATATTCATGAATCTGCTGAGTGCAGACAGCTAAATGCAGCTGAATTCAAATTTGATGCAGTAAAACAATATTGCAGTTGTCATTTATCTTGAAATGAAAATAACTAATAAATAATATAAGATTCATCTAGAAACTG